GGGTGTAACGGACAGGCTGTGTATGTGTGTAATGCAGTGGGGTTAATTAGCTTCAGACCACTGCCATCTATCAACCTAATGCTCAGACTCTGGCCCCCGACAGCTCCATTACCGCCAGACACACACACACACACACACACACACACACACACACACACACACACACACACACACACACACACAGAGTCATGATGTGTGCATTCGCGCATGTTGTTCTCACACACACACACACACACACACACACACACACTATTAGATATCAATACATACAGATTCATAACTTTGTCTTTCACACAACCGCAAGCTGTTATTAACACATAATCTGTCTCTCAGATAAGGCAGATTGGCTTAATGGTTATCAGGTTATGGTTCAAGGGCCAGTTTAGGTCCTAGACACACTTCTTTGAGGTCTCCACATGACAAGAAGAATACTACAGTATCTTTTAATTAACTGTTTAGACAGTGAGCCTTCATTCTTCCTCAAATATCTTTGATTTCCCTCAGACTTTCCAAGTGGCATTTCAAAAGGTCACTTTTAGCTGTTCAAAGGTTTCTTGAGCTTGAAAGGAGAGCACAGGTTGCCATATAACATACGTCACTTTGGAGCAGCTTCACAAGAAGCATTTTCAGTACTCTTCAGCATTCATTTGTTTGATATTGTTTCCATGTTTTGAACGTGTTCTGTGTGGTTCCTCTGTGAGAATGAATGAACTCCAAACTGTGAATTTCCTCAATTTAGTTCCTCGGCAGGAAAGACACACACAAAAAAGCCAGTGTCCCGGATCATTAGGTCTGTTAGGGTCCAAATCCGCCTGTTGGTTATCTGTTCAGCTCCCCAGTGGGATTCCACCTGATATAGTATACTACTATAGTGAGGGATGAAACTGTTCCCCGCTATCGGCCAAGCCATTAAGAAATAGACGGCGCAGACCTGACTGTCTATAGGTGGCAAGAGTTCTAGGATATTGGTTTATATTGGTTTCACTTCCCCAGAGTTCCCCCAGAAGATACTGGTGAGAGACACAATTGGCTAAGAGCGCTATTTAAGGAAAGTTTCAGTCAAAAATGTGTTTTCCACCACTAAGAAAAATGAGCCTGCTGGTGTTCATTGATTGTTGTCATGGAAGGAAAACATATTAGTCTGCACTCTTTCAGTAGTCTTTGCTTGGAGGGGAATACAGTTGAATTAAGAATTAATCTCTGTTATTTTATGGCCAAGGGAAGTCTGTTGTATGTTTTCATCGTGATCAATTCTCTACTTAAGCAAAATAACAAATATTTAATATCTTTGCTGGATTGGCGAAATTGCCTTTTAATGGCAGCCACACTGCATGAAATAGATTAGCTTGTTTGTTGTTTGCAAGAGAAGAGTTCAGGCTTCTGATGAGGTTTAATGGAGAGGTAAATGGACCAAGTACTGCTTTAGAAGCCCTCTGACTCTGCTAAGAATAGTGCAAGAGGGAGAACTTTGCAGTAAGCCTTAAACTTTTTATGCAAGGAAGAATCTTTGGTAATCCGGAGAGCCTTGGGAACAGAGGATCAAAGATTCAACATGTCTTGATTATTGAAAGAGACTGAGTGTACAGCTTCGTTTGTTTGATATCCTTCATATAAATGTACGTACGAGCAATGTCTCCAACATTTATTTATTATACAATTGCAAAAACACTTCCCGATTGAACACTTTCAGCTTCTAAAAATGGTGATACTTCTGTGTTAAGGGGCAAATGCCATCTGAAGCAAATAGCCTCGTCAGTGTACTAAAATGTACCAAATTTCTTGGCAATGCATCCAATAGTTGTTGCACTTGAATCCACAAGCATCATCCTCGTGTGGCGTTAGAGGAAAAGTCAAGGAATCACCAAAGTCATTAGGGTTTTATCCTGAACATGAATTTCTGTAGAAAAGATCAACACTACCAATCTAATAATTGTCGTGGTATTTCAGTCTGGACCTAAGCGGAGGACTGTTCAATGGACCGACTGACATTGCCGCTAGCATGGCTTCAAATAAATCTGAATGAGTATTGATTAAGGATGGTAAGTGCAACCTGCAAATTGACTGACAATTGTGTTCCAAGAAACTGAAACAATATCTTACCTCCATTGATAAGTGTGTGTGTGTGACAGCGAGAAAGTGTTTCTGGTGCTAATTGAAACTGCACATTCAACAACACGCACACACATTCCCTTTTTATCACACTTGCATTTTCCCCTTCAAACACACTTACACACAAACAAACGAAACACACACACACACACACACACACACACACACACACACACACACACACACACACACACATATTCATTAGAGCAAATGGAATTAGGGGGATTGGAGGCATAATCTTCTTCCCTAGTGATACGGGGGAACCAAGCAGTTAATTTCTCACCTCTAACTGCAACTCAAAAACTACTTGCTTTGAAAAAGGCTGCAGTCAGTCGCAACTCTTAGCACATGAATGATTTACAACACTCAAATGTCACATGCCATTAGACGTGCTTAGTCCGAGCAGGTTTCTGTGCCTATACAGGGAGTGTCTGGGGGATCTATGGCTGTGTGGGTATAGAAATATATCTGCAGAAATATTTAGAAAGCACAGGTGTGGTTGTGGAAGACAGTATTGGGTCTGTGCTTGCAGCAGACATTATTGGATGCCACTGAATCTGTATATGTTGCTCTTTCTCTCTCCTTCACAGTTTTTTATTTCTTTTTCTCCTCTTACTCAGTAATGACTCGAGAAAAATGACAAGAGGATGACTGTGCGGTGTGTGTGTGCTGTGTGTGTGCTGTGTGTGTGTGTGTGTCTGTGTGTGTCTGTGTGTGTGTGTGTGTCTCAGTTCCCCAGCTGTGGAGTGAAATAACAAAAGATCAAAGTACCAGGTTTGCCCAGGTCACAGGGTTACTTTCCCATTGCTGTTGTAAACAGACAAATATCTCATATTCCGGCAGCCATGCATTCGTTTCTCTTTGAAATGGATATTTTCTTATTTAAATGCACATAGAGAGTAAAAGGACAACTGAAAGGGAGTAGTCGCACACAAATACACAAAGCACATATACAGTGCAGAGACACAAACACATGCACGCAAGTTGTTTTACCAATTGTTTCCCTCTGCTGGCCCCGCTTAGATTATTTTCTAACTCTTTCTTTTTTATTTGTTCATTTCTATCGTCTATGAATTATACATGCGCGTCCTGAAGTTTTATGAAAGTTTCCAGTTGGATTCCCCTGGCACAGACGACCAATAACAGGGCTCCAGTGTTCCTACAAGACGAACTACTACCCAGTTCACAGAGAGAAATGGAAGGTTATTAAAAAAATAAAACAGAAAAGAACAAAACACTTTTGATTCAAAATTAGATATCAAACTACTACAAAAACGGAGACGCCATCCACTCAGTGGTGTGCATGGATTGCTGTCGTGAAAGTAAAACATATCAGCTGTTTGAATATAGCTGTTTAAGTATCGAATTTACTTTTAGTACTCTTTTCCCCCTGGAGGCGAATGAATACTGCTCAGGTTAAGATTTCATTTTTATTATTGCTGTGGCCCAAGAAAGTCTTAACACGTAATTTTCTTTTTGTAAACAAGCTCCTGAAGCAAGAAAGCCAAATCCGGAGATTCAGGGCTATTTTACACCTGCTTGCTGCAGTGCTTCAGCACCAACAAAGAAGAACGATTTTGAAGATCCTGCAAAACTCTGGCTAGATCCCTGACCTTTTAGAATGGCAAAGACAAGTGTAGATGCAGGGTGGCAGGGACTTCAGATGATGCTGAAAGGGAATAAAGACAGTGAGTGATGGGCTTTAGAAACATTCCAGTCACACACACACACACACACACACACACACACACACACACACACACACACACACACACACACACACACACACACACACACACCTACACAAACACACACACACACACACACACTCTGTGTCCATCTTAAATCTCTTCATGCAGTACCAACAGGCTTTGCTGTGTTCAGCAACTGTATGCGTGTGTGTGTGTGTGCGTGTGTGTGTGTGAGCGTGTGGCTGTGTGTAAAAGACAGACTGACACATCTTATGTTTTGGTTTAGATTGGCAGTTAAGTCTTACTTCCAATGAATGCCAATGAGGGGTCTGTCCAACATCTGTGTGTCTGTGTGTCTGTATGTGTGTGTCGGCAAGTACAGGGTCTTCCCTGGCTGTCCCCCTCTGTCAGGGGAAAAATCAATCTACCTGTCAACCATCTAACACCTTCCACCTGTTACGCTACCTATCACTAGCAATACGTGTGTATGTGTGTGTCTCCTGTCATTCTGTCAACCTCTGTCTCTCTATCCTCCCATCTGCCTGTTGTGCTTTTTGTCTGTCTGTCCTCCTGCCCGGTCCCCGTTCTCTCTTTTATGTCCACCTTCCTACCTCAAAATCTGTCGGCCACGACACCGACATTGAAAAATGACTTTGCCACCACCAAGCTTCCCCTTTGGTTAGCTCTCTATCTCATTCCGCACTCTGATTCCCAATTATTTACCACTTTTGCTTCTCTCCCTTCATACCTACCCACTCTCAAACCGTTTGTTTGCTTCTTTCTCATCTCTGAGCCAACAATAAGTCTACAGTGCTGCAGCTGAATTTTAACATTCGTGATGACAACTTCTCCTCACATCCTAGAGAATTATTAATCACAGCGATCCCGCCGGGAGTGGAAAGCATTTATAACGCTTTCCTTCATATACATCCTATAAAAATATGCATGAAGGCATAAAATAGATGAGAATTATCACAGCCTGACGCACCTTTTTTATTTAGAGAAAGGAGTTTTTCCTGCTAGTGGGTGGAAAAATTGATTGTGATGATAAATATGAAATTAAATTTAATGATTACTTTATTAAACACACAGTCCTCCTACCTTACACATTACACATTACAGTCTGCAAACCATAAAAAATTAACAGGAAAGTGACACTATTTCATCCCTCAATGCATTCTTTTCTCTCTTCTTGTCCAGATCCCCCAGATCAGCTACGCCTCCACGGCCCCAGAACTGAGTGACAACACCCGCTACGACTTCTTCTCCCGCGTGGTACCACCGGACTCCTACCAGGCCCAGGCCATGATGGACATTGTCACAGCGATGGAGTGGAACTACGTGTCAACGCTAGCCTCAGAGGGCAACTACGGAGAGAGCGGCGTGGAGGCCTTCATCCAGATCTCCAGAGAAACTGGTAAGAGCTCTTCCTTTTCTTTTGTTTTGAGGGACATTTAACTCATAACTGCAGCGAGAGCCGCATTAAGTCTTTCAGACTGTTGTGATGTATGGATGTCGGGTGGTTTGTCCTGGTTGTCTGTCGGTCCAGTATGGGTTATGATTTGAATGGATTTAGTGAGAGCTGAGCCATCTAGACTACCAGGAAAAAAAACAGGTAAAAGGCAAGATTGCTTCTTGTGTTCCACCATTCCACCAGGATATAATCATCATATCTATAATATCTATTATCATCAAACTATCATATGATGTTCATAGAGTATTTTCGGGGCATGATACATGATCAGAGGCTTTAGCCTGTAATTTGAAAAGAACTATAGCAAGATCATAACGGAAACCTGTTGTTTAAATCTCTAGGGAAACTCCAGGGAAAATTCACTCTTAGGGTAAATTGCAGGCTGTAGATTGTAGACTGCGGCGCGCAAGCTGAGACAGAGAGTTATCACAGCAAGCATTTGATGGACAAGTGTTTCTGTCTTCTCAACTTTTTCTTTTGGCTCTATATGTCGTTTTTTAATAATGATACTTCAAGTCGATGTCATAAATGTTTGCTGCTGTGAGTTCTGTGCCTTGGAATTAGCAGGACATGCACTGTCGCACATAGTTAAAAGAAGAATCAGTAGATATCACTTGTAGTATATATTGGAGACAAATTAAAGGACAAGCCAACATGAAGTGTTTAAGGTTTATTGGCATAGATTCTACAGGTCTCTCGAACTTTACTGGAGCAATTGAACACCATTCTTCTAAAGGATATTACCTCATTTGGTGTATGATGATGGTGGAGAATGCTGTCAAATGGTGCATCCCGACTAAAGGCAAATAAAGTCATTTGCCTGAGTAGATTACATACAAAGTCATTGCAAACACGTAAATAAATGCAAAGTCATGCCAGGTGACACGAACAATGCGAAATTTGCCCCATTAACGATTTTTATAGTTAAATATATTGAACTTTGACCTAAAAATGTGCGCATATCGCAGGGTTTTTTTCAGTGGAGGGACGAGATCTCCTGCCGGCCCACAGAAAGCTGCTTGAGCTTGGGGCAGAGCCGGAGCTTCTGGAGGAATAAACACCCGTAGTCGCACCGGATTCTGCTCTGATCTGGAGATGTTTACCGGCAAGAGGAGAGCTTTGAGTTTATTTTTTAAACTTTTGGGGATTAAAAAGTGGATTTATCTTCACTCTCTCAACCTGTCTGCTGTGAGCCACCCCCACTTGTATCTGTCTGTGTGCACCCAGAGCTCTTCATACTTATACAGAGACCGGACAGAAAAGGACATTGCTCTGAGGAAAGTAAGAGAGGAAGTTTGGGAAGTACTTAAAATATGTGTCTGTTCTAGCTATCGGTTTTACTTTATGATGAACTAAGTTAGCATAGCCCTGATCGAACTCCTTTCAGAAAACAAGCAATTTAAAAGTTGTTTGCTCGTTGTCTTGCGCACAGACCCGACAAAGTATGAATCCAGACGTTTCGCAAATTGCCGTTTTGATGTTGTTATTTTGGCATCCTTTTAATCAGTTTATTGCAATCAAATCACAGCCAAATCTCTTTATTTAGGCTCATACCACGATTGTAAGATAGATTGAAGGGTGAATATGTATATAAATACAAATTATAGTAACATGTCATTAGCTTAGCTATTTAGTAAGTTAGTTATTTATGTTAGTTATTTTTTGTGGTCACAGGTTACTTTTGGGTGCCAAGATGTTACTAGTTTAGTCCTATTCCTGAAAGCCTTTTGTCCTGTAAAAGTGAAAAGATCTGGTCGAAAATATGAACAAGTTATGAAAATGGGAAAATAGGATAATATGAACAGTAAAGCAAAACAAAACGTAAACATACGTACATTTGTATTTATAATGCTGTATGCTATGAGTTAAAGGTGACCTATTCTGCTCATTTCCAGCTTTATACTTTTAGTCTGAGACTCCACTAGAGTAGCTAGGGAGGGCCAGCGGCTCCAGCTCCCTGTCCATTACCAGCACTTTGCAGTTAGCTAATTGCTGCTAGTAAAGCTCTTACGTCCGTCTGTAAGTCCCTAAGAGTTGAGGCAGAGAAGCCGCAGGACATCAGAGGGAAAAAACACGCATGCAGACATACAAAAACTTGAAGGGTTAGTCCTGATTCCTGAGCAGAGCAGTCGGATAACTTGCACAGACTGAGCGGGTCCCTGTACGTGGTGGATGTGCTCAGCTGTGCTCTGCCTGGAGCGTATAAAGAAATTTGTGACGAGCCGACGTTGCGTGGAGTAGAATAAGATGCTGGGAACTTGGCATTCAGAATGGCCTCGATATTGTGCTTTTTGTTCACAGGGATTACTTTTACATATGTTGCGTATACCTCATTATTTGACACAAAAACAAGCACTCTCTTCATTTTTTTGCCTCGTAATAGCCATAGAGTTCATATTTAAGATCATTTTCATACTCATTAAACCACTCAGCAACCCCTGGTGCTGGTAAAGTTTTTCCACTTATTTATTCATTTAATCATTATTTATTCATTGTGTTAGTTAGTGATACACTAGTGATAAAATACATAAGATCAAATTTCACACTTTCACTTTTTCCTTCATTAGGTAGTTGCGAGAGGGATGAGGGTAAATTACACTGGAGTAAATGAGCGTGACTGAGATACAGAGAGGGAGAGGAACACAGAGACGGATCACTTGTCTGCTTTGATGTAAGACTTAAAAGCACGGTCCCCGTAGTCCTGGGAGCATCAAGTATGGGTGAACACTGCCTCAAATCAGTTTATGAAATCCTCCAAGTGATGTTGACAGATCAAAATGCTGTTGGTTTCCTTGTTTATGTCTCAAATGTTTATTGAAAACTCATCATGTTGGATGTTGACAAATATTTACAGAACGACAAGACTAAAGACAGATAAAGAATACGTTCGAGAGAGTATCAGATGAGATGTTTCTATTTTTATCGCGCTCCCTGCTGATCCTTTACTCCAGTCTTCCCCCCCCGAATTGCTTTTTCAGCATTGTTTGTGTGCTGCTGTAGAGATGACATCTTTGTGTATGTCTGGGCAGGCTGTCTGTCCATCCATCTCTGTCTCTGTTCGTGTTTGGAGCCGGCTCACCCAGGGCTGTATGCTGTGGCAGTCAGCACATAGATGTTCACTGTGTTGTCAGATCAGTGTGTGGGTGTGTGTGCCACTGTAAATGGTAAAGCAGTCCTCAGCAATGTGTGTATTTGTGTTGTGGGAGTCGTCAGCAGTCTCTTCTTGCCCTGTGTGTGTGTGTGTGTGTGTGTGTGTGTGTGTGTGTGTGTGTGTGTGTGTGTGTGGACTACATGCTGTGACAGCAGTCAGTCAGTTGTTGTGAACAGAACCAGGAAGATGACTGGATGGGAGAGCAGAGAGAAAAGAAAAGGGCTGAGGAGGAGAGAGGAAAAGTGACCGGAGAGGGAGAGTTCACTCTGTGTGTGTGTGTGTGTGTGTGTGTGTGTGCGCGCGTGTGTGCACGTTCTATAGTTGTGAATCAAGCTGAAGAGTGGCAGAAATTGACAGGGAGAGGCAGAGAATGGGACAAGGAAGTGGGAACAGCGACAGAATAATGATAGGGGTCCTAATATAGATGCACAGCACTCCCTGCCACTGGAAACACACACAGATTTGAGATGAGCACATGGACTCAGACACACACGTACACATACATAGTATATAGTGACACAGGTGGACATCTTTAGACGCGCACACACACACACACACACACACACACACACACACACACACACAGACAGAGCCACAGGGAATTTCTTGGTGATTATTTTGTGATTGCAGTGTAATGATTACAGCTTACAGGGCACTCTGCATACTGATACCAAACATCCATATTAATTGGTGTGTAATCGTTCACTGATGATTCTTGACAACGTGTGTGTGCGCCCGTAAAATATAAGTATGCATGCATGCATATTAATCAGCAGAAAGTTTGAGAATAGGTGCATAGTCTTGTTAGCATAAGTCAGGGGTTACAGAGGAATGTGTGCTACACTGCTAGTGCTAGTTACAGGACCAGTTCAATACTGCTCAGTTATGACTCTCTGTACTTTTCTTATTTAACACATTTGGAAAGTTAAATATTTACTTCTCCAATACAGTCTTTGAAACCGAATGTCCTACTTATGTTTGCTGCTCCACAGCTGCTGTGTTGCTCCGCTCCCAGGAGGAGTTATGTAGAAAATTCTGCACAACTAATTTTTCAGCCAAGTCCACATGACAGTCAGCAAAATATTTTTGTTTCAAAAGGACTGCTTTAGGGAAAACTTGAAATAACTTAAGATTTGAGGTTACAGCAGTGAAATGATGCAAACCCTGGATGCTGGTGTTGACGACGCCAACTTTCACTCGTCAAAATATGATATGTGTATTGGTGCTGAATATTGGCATTGAACCGCGAAAGCATGGATGTTTTCACAGGGGCACTTAATGAATCTGAGCCAACGTCTGTGTTAATTGACCTGTGCCATGACAAGTCAAAATGTCTGCTGTGAAAAAGTTTTGTTGGCCACAGATTAGACCCTTACTATTGGTGAAGGTAGCCTATGAAAATGTAGGTCTTATTCAAGTCTTAAAACATTGATTGAACAATAACTAAGACCCAAGCTTTGGAAGAAACATTTATATTCTTTTAACCACTTTTGTTCAGCCTATTGAGTAATTAAGACATTACAAGCCACCCAAGTATTGGATTGATTGCCATGAAATTAGGTTCAGACATTCATGTTCCTCTCAGAATGAATTAACGCCATCATCAGGTTAAAATCATGATTTATCCAATACTTTTGTTTGTTTTATGCCCAAATACTTTCAAAACTGATGACATTCTCATCAGACTTAGCGATACTTTTTATTTGCCGTTAGTTAGCAAATGTTAGCATAACATGGCAAACTTAGATGACAATGGTAAACATTAGTATGTTAACATTGTCATTGCGTGCAT